TACTTATCAAATTCTAATTATTACAATGATATTCAAAACATCATATTCTAAGTATTACAATGATATTCAAAACATCAAATTTTAATAATGTGTATAATAATTATTGCCATTCAGCCTGACTCTTTATAAACAATACTGGGTTTTGTCAACTTTACGATCTCTACTCACATACCCTCAAACTTCAATGTCAACAATTTGCAACATCTGTGCAAAACTAATTAAAGTGACAAAGGGTAATCTATTATACAAACATAGTTACAAAGGGTCAACATGTCCTTCCTCTCAAAAATCTCCAACCAATGAAATTTTAACAATACCCAAACCCTTATTCAATATTATTGAGCCTCATCCTCCCCCTATCAACACAGATTTTCTTGAAAGATTTTTTGAATGGAAAAAAAGACCCACTTTAACACATCTACCAAATAAATCTAGAAACCTAATTTCAAATTTTGTTATTAAACTTATCACAAAAGTTAATGATAACTTAAATTGCTTAAAATCATGGGAAGATTTATTAACCTTCTCTCATAAATGTCTTATACGTCCTGTTAACAAAGAGACCCCATTACATGAACAAATAAAATCGAACATTGATAATTTTGACAATATTCAAATGATTAATTACAATCATAATGTTAAAAAGCAAGTAGATGATATAACACACAAATGCAAAATTATATCAAATAAAATAGATCAAGGTGACATAGGTGGTGCAATTAAACTCATATCCTCAGATAACCATCTTTCTCCTATCAATGAAGAAACATTACAACTATTGAAACAACTACATCCTGAAGCTTCTACAGATAATCTACCCATCTCTCCAATCCACCAGACTGTAATTTTTACCAGTGATGAAATTGTCAATGCTATCAATTCTTTCAATAAAAACTCAGCAGGTGGTCTTGATGGTTTCAGACCCTCCTATTTTCAATACTTAATTAATCCAAAAAATCCTTCCCATAGTTCTGTCATCAAGGTTTTAACACCTTTTTGTAATAACATAATAAATAATGATATTCCAATACAAACTCACCAAATCCTTTTTGGTGCACGTCTAATTGCTTTATCTAAGCCAGATGGTGGTACCCGTCCTATTGCAGTAGGCTCCTTTTTCAGAAGATTAATAGCCAAAATCATAATTGAACACATCAAACATGATGCTGTCAACATATTAAATTCTTATCAACTAGGTTTTGGGATCAAGGGTGGCTGTGAAATAGCGGCTCATACATTAAGAATTTACTTAGAAAACCCACCACCTGATTCTGTAATATGTAAACTAGATTTTAAAAATGCCTTCAATAGCCTACATCGTACCTCATTTTTAAAATTTTTCTATGATACATTTCCCTGTTATTCTAAATTTATTGAATCCTCATATGGTTTTCAGACGCCTTTGACATATGGATCTTATCAGATTTTATCCCAAGAGGGCATCCAACAAGGGGATCCATTAGGACCTCTTCTTTTTTGTTTTGGAATCCATCATCTCATCTACCAAATTAAACAAAATTTTAACCTAGATCTTAATCTATGGTATTTAGACGATGGGACCATATGTGGCCCTTCAGCTAATGTACTAAGCGCCTTAAAACACCTGGAAATCAATTCCCAAGCTATCGGCCTGGTACTCAACATAAATAAAACAGAATTATGTTTCTTAAACAATAAGCCACAAAATTTGGAAGGCTACAAAATCATTGCTCCTGACAGCTTAACCTTACTTGGGTCCCCATTAGCTAATGCGACCAAGTCAGAAGATTTTCTCAACAAGATTTTTAAAAGCTTTTACAGTATGGAGCACATTCTTAGTCTCCTACCAGCTCATCAATCTTTATTTTTAATTCGCAAATGCCTGTACATACCTAAATTTATGCATATTTTCCGATCATCATCTTTTTTCAAAAACAATGAATTCATATCTAAAATTCAGGATAAATTTAAAATATTTCTGGAAAAAATTTTAAACATAAATTTAAACTCATTCAATTGGTCACTTGCTCAGCTACCTTCCAAACTAGGAGGTTTAGATTTTTTTCCGCTCAATCTTTTATCCTTATCATCATTCGTATCATCTAGATTATCTAACAATTCTATTATTTCTGGCTTCATATGCCCTACCGATCGTTTATTAGACGACGCTATTGACAAATGGAAGGCAAACACACCCATTAACACCGTATTACCATCAATCATCACACACAAAAATTTTTTCACACCTTTAATCTCTAAATACCAGACAGATATATCAGTCAATCCACCTTTAGATTGCATTCAACTCCTTCAATTATCTGACAGACTTGGTGGTCATGAATGGTTAGAATCACTCCCTAGTCGCAACCTTGGTAATCTCTTATCAGATGAACAACTGAGAGTAACCATTGGTCTACGTCTAGGTTGCGATATAGTACAGCCTCATGCCTGCGTCAAATGCAAATCACCCGTTGATTCAAAGGGTAGACATGGCTTAAATTGCATTTTTAGTCAAGGGCGACATCAACGCCACTCAGCTGTAAACCATATAATAAATAGAAGCTTAACAGCTGCACACATTCCTAACAATCTCGAACCATCAAATTTATCTCAAGTAGATGGTTTAAGACCTGATGGTATGACAACCATACCTTGGGCCCTCGGCAAATCACTCATATGGGACTACACGTGTGTTTCATCATTCCCTTCAAACATAAATTTCAATTTAATAACACAGGCTGAAATTAAAAAGATAAACAAATACAAAAATTTTAAAAACTTTTTATTCACTCCAGTTGTGACTTCTACTAACGGGCATTTTTCGCCTTCAACATTTTTGTTTTTAAAAAATCTTGCTAATAAAATACGACTTTTCACAAATGAACCAAGAGAATTCCTTTTTATTCGACAAAAAATTCAAATAGAAATTTTTAGACACAATTATGGTTCCTTTTTGGGGACTCAATTATAGAATTTTATTTTTAATTATATAATTATAATTTAGAAAATATTATTGAATATTTAACTAACAATAAAAAGGGGTAATAAAGTTTAAAAAAAAAAAAATTTAATATTTAAGTAAAAAAATAGAAATTAAAAAATTTTGTTTTATCAATTACCAAAAAAATATTTAAAATGCAAAGTTTTCAATCTAACAAAACATTTGCAGAAAAAAAAAACTTTTTTTTAAAATATCTTTAAATAAAAAATTTTAAAATTTAAAATTAAAGAAAATAAAAAAAAAATTCTATTCATAAAACGAAATATATATTTGTCAGAATTTTTTTTTTCTATATATATATAAACAATTATTCGACATCAATCATACAAATTATTATTATAATTAAGCGATAACCAAATTTTATCTGTTCTATTTAGATTCTGGATTATTGATTTGAAGATATCGGCATTTTTTTCTCTCTTTGCTATAATAATAATTTTATTTTTTAACCAATAAATTTGTGGTGATAAAATATTATTTTTTTTTGTAAAAATCGATTTATCTCACATATAATCAAATAAATTATGACCCAATACCTGGCCAATCTTAGGTAGAGCCCCCAAAGTACCGATCTTAAATTTTGTGTTCCAAACCGACCCTACCCCGATTAAAAAATATTTTGACTCTGAGTTTGTTCATCATAATATCTAAATAATAAAAAAAATTTTTTTTAATTATGTGTGGTAATATATACGTATTATTGCCACCTTAAATAAAAGTATATTTAAACCCCCTCAGATTTATAAATATATAAATGTGAGGATATTTAATCGAATAGATTTTAGATTTAAAGAAAAAAAAATTATCGAACGAATAAATTTATTATTTTGTACAAATTCGCCGCGGACCAATTCGTGCTAACTATGAATGAGGGGAAGGGGGGGGTTGCGTAAGACGAAAAATGACACGTGATTCAGATTGACATTTCGATAAAACGAAAAGATTATTGATTTAGGGCCTCAGGTCGGGCTCCCTTTTACAACCCGATCTGAGCCCCAAGAAAGGGTCTTCAATATCAGAGTCCTACCAGAACAGCCCGTGCAGGGCTCTAATCAGTAATCTGCATCGGGCCTAATTTTTCAAGCGGCCCGAAATATTTTTTGAAAAAGTTTTACCAGCCTGTGCCCGAATTTCATTAAATATAAAAATTAATTATTTTAAAATTATTGTTAACCAAAATAATGGCATCTGGTATCTTATAAATATAATCCAAATATTTATATTTTACTTAAAAAATTCAACATAAAATTGATGTATTTAAGATATTTTTTAAAAAAATTTACAAGACTAGACTAGACCCAAATTTTATTTTAAATAATATAGCCTATTTTTTGCATACCTCTAGCTCTAATCATCGGCTATCTTTTGTCAATACGACTGATGAATCCACCACGGCACCAAAAAAAGAACGAAAGGCTGTGGTAAAATCTTAAAGTGAACTATAAAAGCATGGGGATAGAGATAATATTCGTTGAATATCCTCTTGACTTGAATATAGATATTTTTGAAAATACTTATCATTAATCTAATATTTTTATGAATTTTATAAATTTTAATAAAATGTGTATTTTAAGATTTAATGGATAAAGTCGAGGGAAGCATTAGAAATATTCAAATTAAATATACAACTATATTTATTTCTTTAAAAATTCTAAAAAAATTAAAACATGTGCAAAAATATATAACCAATCATATGAAACAACCAATCACTTATTTTAAAAAAATAAAGAAGCAATCAAAATAACAAATAATAAATATAAAAAAAATTCCATTGCTTCCTCGATGTGTTTTTCTTTTCGTTTTTTTTTAAAAAATTATTTTTTTCTGTTCTTTTTTTTGAAAAAAACATGTTTTTTTCCCCCATTCCTAAAATTGAAACCATATCTAAATATAAAATCACGATAATGGTATATTTTTATTTTATTTTTGTTCATAAGGCACCTCCTGGTCGTATCCAGCGAGTCTTTCGCGAAATAATTTTAAAACGAAATCGTATAGCTTTACATCCGACTCCAACTGGTCATTTCGCGCTATTTTTATCAACATATCTCGATTCCAAATGTTTGATACATTCCTCAGATTTGCTCACTTTATTCTTCAAAAGCTCTTTATTAGTAAAGGATATTCCCAACACTTTCTCGAATAGGTAGATAGTTTGTGGCATATACTCAGTTATGCCGAATACCTTGAGCCCTAATTGCAAGTTAATCTTGGCACTATCTAGCATGATTTGATTCCTTTGTTCAGTTGATAGACCGTGATTAGTGGTTTTTTTTAAAAAAATATGTTTTCGAATCATTAGTTTTAAAATGAATATATACTATCTATAGTTGAAGGTAAAGCTATACGATTTCGCTTTAAAATTATTTCGCGAAAGATTCGCTGGATACGACCAGGAGATGCCCTACGAATATAAATAAAATAAAAATCCATTATCGTGATTTTATATTTAGATATGGTTTCAATTTTAGGGAATGAAGGAAAAAAACAACAGAAAAAAATAATTTTTTTAAAAAAAACGAAAAGAAAAACACATCCAGGAAACAATGGAAATTTTTTTTTAAATTGGGTATTTATTATATGTTTATTTATTATTTGTTATTTTGATTGCTTCTTTATTTTTTTAAAATATTAATAAGTGATTGGTTGTTTCTTATGATTGGTTATATATTTTTGCACATGTTTTAATTTTTTAAGAATTTTTAAAGAAATAAATATTCCCCCCCCCCCTTCACCATAGGAAAATCCTAGATACGCCACTGATGATAATATTTAATTATAAATTATTAGACCATCTTGAACAAATTAAAAGTCAACCAAACATTACCTTAAATTTTTATCAAAAAATTTATCGCCTAAAATTAAAAAGTTTCTTATTAATAATTATTTGAACAACTTTGCAGAATATAATCTCTGCCGTTTGATATTTAAATATTTCCCAAAATTTAATTATGAAAAGTTTCATGGATATCGAAAGAATATAGTCGTTACCATACTCCTTACTTTTTATCACATTCTATGATTGACATATCGGCTAGATGTCTTGTCATGCGATTATTGGTCCATTGGTTCTGGCAGGAGACAAACTCTTCCAATGTGAGCTCCGAAAATTTTTGAATGTGGGCAAAGCATGTAGGACGACCAATTAACACATCCTTCTCGCACAATATGTATTGCTTTCCCCAATGACTTCCATTAAGAATCTGATAGTATTCGCTCAGGTATCTTTTCATAGGTTACCTCAACATCGTCACAAAGTATCTTAAATATATTAAGGTAAGGATGAAGATTTGCTTGGATAAAATTTAATGCATATATTTGTCCCAATTGAATTAAATTGTTTTTATTCAGCCAAAACTAAATGATGCCTGATTTATTATTATTTTATTATATAATATGATATGGCTAAGCTAATTTATCGAATTTTCAAATTGGACAAGAAGGATCAAACAACTTATTCTCAAAAAAGTAAATCCAATTTTACATTTCGCCTCTCTTATCTAATTCCTAGAGCGCAAAATTCTGTATACAGTTATAACCAAAATGATTTTCAATATGGTAATATAAATTTAGTTTCAAGAATTCCTATGATGGATTCGTCAATTTATTTTGGATCACTAATTTTTAGGTTTTGTCAATTTATAGAAAAATAAAAATTTAGCTAAAAAATAACGCCATTTAAAATGAATTTCGTGTAATGGCCGCCATTGTTTTAAATTGTCGTATCGTAACTGATGTTAGGTGAAGGTAAGAACGCGACTTTTTTTTTAGAACTATCTGCGAAAACGAAGGTTACATTTTTAGCTTTTTCACAAAATTAAATTTAAATTTTTAACGCATCGTTGGGAATTCCAGTAGATCCTAATTGCTCACGAGAGAATTCTTGATTTACGTGAAAAAGGGGGAATGGTAAATAATTCAGCCATAGTCGGAAAAACTTAACATAACAAAGAAAAAAAAATACGATCAGAGATGACGTTGTTCGTTACAACGGCTGTCAACTTTAATTTACGACTTTTTCGCCAAAAGAATTCTTATGTGATCCTCTAGATTTTGAAGATAGATCTCCGAACCTTCCTTGCCATCTACCATTAAAATCCCCAGGCTAAGGTGATATTTTTTTTTGTCACTAGAATTATTGGGGTATTTCAAAAAATCGAGATCAGAGTCAAGATTAACAAATTTATCGATCCCTTCAAGTCTCCTCTGAGTGGCCCAAAAAAAAGACGTCCAAAGGTGAAAACATTTCAGATATAAACGTAGTTTATTGGGTATGAATTATCAGGGAAAATAGTAGATCAATAATAGTTCACATGATAATAAGATATTCAAAACTCCATATATATACATGATATTTTTTATTTTTATTTACGGATGATTATATATCTTCAAACAAATTTAAAAATTGTGGGAATTTAGCCTTACACTTTTTTAAATTGTTTTTTACAATATCTGGCAAAGAGAGAGAGAGAGAGAGAGAGAAGTTATTAGCCGGTTTTGCCCAAATCGGTTCGAATAGCCCCGGTCTCTCCTACTTTTTAGTTTAATGGTGGGCTCAGAAAAAGAAAATCTTTTATTAACAGTTAACCAAAAGAAATAAGGATACCATTTCGCAAAGAAATACAGAGATTAGACCTCTACCGAAAAAAGTCAAAAGTCGATTGAAACTTGATACTATGCGATAATGTGGTAGGCGAGGCAAATGAAGCATATCCCTAATAAATTTGAAATATTTGGAAAAATAAATATATAGGCACGTGATTTAAGCCGATTTCTAAAGACTGCTAACTAAATATTCCAGAAAAATATTGCCTAAGCCTTGAGTTTTCGCTGATAGATTTCAAGATCTCTGTGCATCTATAAGAAAAATGATGAGGCTCTCATACTTTTCTGGATAAAATATTTATGATAGCCGCTTTCTATAAATAGGCTAATCGAGCCTAGCAACACTATTGCTAGACTTTGTTCGAGACAATGCCTAGAAGGTTTCAGTCCTGATTAAAGGAATATGTCTTTAAATTTTGATATCCATTTTTGATTTAATCTTGACATATTTAACCTTTCTTAAAAAAATATTCTTGTTTATATGCACAATTTTATGCTGAATAAAATTGACAGATCAATCCAAAAAAAAATATATTTTCAACACCGACCCCTTCAGAATTTGTTTAAATTGCATATATTTGTAATATGTGCTACAACTAAGAGAAAAAAAATGAAATTTTTACTTCACTCAATCACTAATCGTATCGCTAAGATATGGGGGTTTAGAGAGCGGAAAAAAATGGTACATTTTTGTCGAAATGCGCTAATGTTCAAATATCTTCTCAAAAGAATAAATTAGGTTAGAGCAATAATTTAAATTTTATCAATTAGCTTAATACCCAAAACCGGAAGTACAAAACCGGAAATGAATATAAAAATAGGTATCTTTTTTCAAAATTTTAATTTCTGTAGATCTGTTACTAAACTGGTTTATTTTTGTACAAAAAATAAACTTAGATTGGGATAAACGTGGGTCTAAAGGAGTTGAGTTATGACCTTTACAGGGCTAAAATTGATCAAATTTAACATAATTATCATCCTCCTTCATATATTTATGGAATACTTGGGTGATAATTTATATTAAAAAATACCGTCTAGATGAAAAGGGCCCCTACTTTATTATTAAAAAATGTAAAAAAAATTAAAGGTAGGGGTAGGAATGGAGAGGGGTGGGGTTAAATAAATCAAGGCGGACATTTAGAAGAAAAATCTGGGCCGGACAAATGGGCATCTCTGCAGGTCTCAGAAAAATAAGTTATAAAATCAAATAAAGAGGCAACCGATAAAAAATGACTTTTAAACATCAAGATGGGTTAAACAAATTTTTTTTAGATAATTGGTGGGGGGGGGGTGGGGGGAGGGAGTTAATAAAATATCATGAGTTGGACGGGCGATTGGGTAATGTATTTTTTGAAACAATGGCGGGAGTTTGAGTTGAATCCCGCTTATTACTGACCCTCTAGTCTGTCTAGAATTTTGAAATATTGATCCAAAGATATATAAATGTGTATCAATATGTATCGATATATATTAGAATTTTATTTTATTTTTTAAAATAAAGTGACCACTTATTTTAAGTCGTTACATTCCCCACCAAAAAAGAAGTTATTTATTCGTTACGTTACGAAAGATTTGAATAAGAATAATTTATCATTCAATTCCTAACCGATACAAATTTGTTCAAAAATTAGCCAGAAGGCAACTCCGCTTTAAAGATTTTAAACTAAGCACCACCAGAATAGTATTTGAACAGATGTACATTCCGGTCGGAGACATTGTATGAAATTGTATGTTTGATAATTGTTTACAAAAAATATGATGCGGATTTAAGGGAACTTATGAAAGGTGTTGGGGCCTAAGTTAGAAATATTTTACCCAAAAAAAAAACAAAGATGAAAATTAGTTATTATGAATGACACCTTTTGCAAGTCTTTATTCGATAAAATAATCAAGTTAATTAAATAGAAGTGATAACCTTAAAATAGAAAATGGTTTAAAAAACAAATGTTATACAATTACGTTGGGTCATAGGTTAATTTTGCGTATCTTTTGTTTGGGTAGAATATGCCAGGCTTTTAGCTTAATATGGTGTTCCCTGATAAAATTTTGGTAAGAATTAATGTTTTCCGACAAATCATATAGTTTCATTGCCACAGGAAGACAGTCACGCATACGTTCGAATATGGGATGTATCCCGCAATACTTCCAGCCATTGGAGAATCGATTATATAGCCAACTTTTGGTACCACCATATTCTGTTATATTGTTTGTAAATTTCTCCCAAGATTTTAAATTTGGGCGTTCGCATAAGCATCTAATGAGTTGATGAATGATGCCAGTTGGTGTTCTACAGGAACACCCAGGATTTACTTGGACATTGTGAACTAATATGGAACTGAGTTCTGTGCCTCCGGCCTTTTGTATGTGGACGAATGCCAAAATATCTCGATCAAAATTGAACCGTACTGCCGTAATGGGGTCTATCAAACATTCGCCAGCAAAATCTTGGTGATGGCCAATGACTCGCTTACAACTCGCATTGATATTTTGGTGATAATGAGGTGGAAAACGCCTTTTCAAGTAACTATATGCGTCGATTTTCGGGTCCATCCAAGTTCTATTGCGTTGTTGAATATTTTCGCGGCTGCGGTAAACGTACTCTCCCATTTCGAGGGCGAGATATATTGTTGTGGTGCCTAGTTGACTATGGTATTTAGGGAAAATTTTATGAATATCGATAACCCTGTGCGGATACATTGCTGAATAAAAGTGATAATCGAAAATAAATGCATTAAAAAGGATTACAATACACGTGAATAGTATTATTTTATACATCTTTTGTTGAAATAGTATACTTTCGTTTTAATATATATATATTCATCTTTTAAAATTTATGTTTAATATAATTTCCTTCATTGGTAAATACAAATATTACGCAACAAAAAAAAAAAAAAATTTTAATTTGAAAATATATAAAAAAGTCAACAATATTATTCGATTTAAAGAAAAAGGCGCATGTTTTGTGTTACCTTCATTTTGTGCTGAATAAGCATAAATATTGTTTATTAACATTAATAAGATTTTGAAAATTTTTGATCGAATTTGATAATATTTTTTAGTAAAGAAATAATGGGTTGTAATGGAGAAGGAAGGAGTAATAGAGGCGAGGGAGAGAAAGATAATAGTCTAGAAACGCGTAAAATAAGGTTAAGAATTCGAGCAATATTAGAACCTTCAGAATCAAAAAATGAAACAAATAAAATTTGGTTATTGGCAATCTTTGAGGAGGGGGGGGAAGGGGGTGTATATTTATATCAATTTTTTTTTATTTAAGATATTTTAAAAAAAGGTTTTTTCTACAAAATTTTTGGTTAGATAAAACTTTGAATTTCGCATAAATTTATAATTTTATTTTTTACTTAATATTAAAGGCAAAAAAAAACATTAATATTTTTTTTATCTAGATTTTAATAAATATATGTACGTTAGAGGGCGTTAAATAAATAAATACGAAAATATATCATCTCTAAGAAACCGGAATGATTATTTTTTTAGCTATTTTTTTTTTTTTATATTTGGACGTAAATACATCTGGATAACCCAAAAATTAAAAATAAAATGATAGGTTTCCTTGATATCTAATTTATGATTAGGTTTAGAAATCGCAAAATAATAGATAAATTGTAAG